ATGAATGCTTGTGATCATCCTCACGGTGGTGGTAGAGGAAAAAGCAAAGGAAACAGACATCCTTGTAGTCCAACAGGCGTTCTAGCCAAAGGTGGGAAGACTCGAAAGCGACCAAATAGATGGGTTGTCAAACCGAGACCACGACGATGATCGAAATAAACTGACCCTTTCCCTAACATATTTAGTGCCATTTCTTTTTTAGTATAGAATTTCTGATTAATCACGTGACATAAAGTTTGTTTAAAGTATTTTCAACGATGCATAAACCACTTGACAAAAACTTTTTCGACGGTTTCGATTTAATAATAATAATAATCAAAAATGGAGACTTCACTACCTAAATTATCACTCGAACCTCGTTTAGGATCTGCACCATTTGACGTACTAGAACCTGAAGGCACTGAAATATACAACCCGTACGAATAGTACCGATTGATCATTGTCGCCTCGAATTTTTTGATGCTATTCCCCATTTTCACTGGACTTTACTCTTGACAGTAAGTCAACTCCTAGTGATAACCTTAGAGAGCAGGTCCGTAAGATATATAGCCAACGTGTATTCAAAAATTTGACCGAAGAAAATGACGATTCCGAAAAAATGGAAGAAAAAAATGAACAGGGATCGACGTCCGTAAAAGATTTAGACGATTTCTTGTCCATGAAAATTTCCATCAGACAATCTGTCGAGTAAGTGTCGTCGCGTTTCCGCAAGCCCTGCAGCAATACTCCATATGATTACCTGTAATTAATTTTGTCTCTTTAGGCAATCGAACAATGAGATTGGAATTGGAATCGATATCTTGAATTTAATATTGTCTTGTCGACCGGGATTTAATCCCGATAACCCACTTCCAATCAACCCTGGTTTAATACAACACACTTGCCACGCCTATTCCCCACCCACAAAACCATTTGAAGTTCAGAATCTCAAGCTGATGCTGGGAATGAAAAGAAAGGTTTCTTGAATTTTACGATTCTCAGTACCAATTTGTCAGATTGAAAGATATTAATTAAAACTTTTAATAACAGCAAATTAAAAACTCGGCAGAATTACTATTAAACGCAGCTAAAAAGCTTAATGACATCGTTAAAAAGGAAGAGAGCTTCTGGAGTGAAGCATTGTCGTTAAGGGAACGCTACTGGAGCATGTGCCGTGGCGGTAAAGAAAAAAATGCCGGGCATCAGATTTTTGTCAATTACGGATATTCTGAAGGTAATAAGAAGTCTTCTTACATAATTTCTAGCTTACTGTTGATAATGATTCAATTTTTTGTTATCTTGCTAGCTACCTCCACTTGCTTGGCACAAATACTGAGATCACCTGAAGAAAGGAAAATCGTTGTATCCTTACCTAAAAGATCAAAGAGAGCAGTTAAACTAAAACTACAACAGAGGTCAAATAATCTTGGCGGAGGAATTTA